CCCCCCCCCCCCAGCACCTGCGCCTGAGGTGAGAGACTTAGTTGCTTCGTCCTCACTAAGGCCCTGAGTCCAGTGTAGTGGCTGCGTAACTTTTGAGGAAATGTTCATGCATTCTAACAGATACTGAATTGCTGTATTACTTAATAAGCCACTACATATTAACAGAATGTCCATGCATTTACATAGATAGTGAATGGCTGTATAAATTCATTAGGCACTTCATATAAACAGGATGCCCATGCCTTTACATAGATACTGAATGGCTGTATTACTTCATAAACCACTTCATATAACAAAAATGTCCATGTGTTCACAAAGATACTAAATGGCTGTATTACTTCATATAGCACTCCATATAAACAGAATGTCCATGCGTTCACATAGACACTGTGTGGCTGTATTACTTCATAACCTACTTCATATAACAAAATGTCCATGTGATCACATAGATAATGAATGGCTGTATTACTTCATATAGCATTTCATATAAACAGAATGTCCATGCGTTTACAGATAATGAATGAATAGATTGTTATAGCTAGGAATATACAATATAACTGTAGGAGGTTGAGCAAAGAGGTTTAAGATGTACTTGCGGATGTGATGTCAGAAGTACACAGGATCAGGCTGAACAGGCTAGGGGGATATACAGACTCCAAGAGGTTACAGCACCTGGGTGGGGAACAGAGTGAGAGGCTGGCTTTGCAGTTTTAGCTCAGGTGGTTGCTACAGGGATGAACCCACTCAGATGGATAAATACAACTAGGAATGGAGACTGGAGCCGAATGCAGCACATCAGGATGGTGAGCAGCTTGAGTTCAATTGCCCAGCATCAGCACATTGCTTGAATGCTGAGCAATTGAATTTCCCTGGCTTAAAACAGCTGAGGAAGAGGAGGGGATGCATTACGCTGCAGAGAGCCAGAGAGATGGCACTGAAACCCGGAGCCAGATCGTGGAAAAGTAAGTATATTACAGGCTCTCTAGTACGCCTATATTTTAGCTATTGTGTGCAGAGGACCCCTTTCTCAAACACCAATACATGCTGAAATGGGAACAATATTGGGTAGTGAACTCCCTCTAAAAGTAAGGCGGATGCTTTTGTCCCAGGCTCGCAGGAGATCTATATATATGATGTATAATGAGACCGCATATACAATTCTGATGTTCTGGTATGGCACGTCTGAGATTTTGCACTGCATATACTGTATCTCACTACTATTAACCAGTGTTGACACTGTAGCTCAGCAGTCAGTCCATTGTACCATCTGGCATCATTGTGCCCTGGCATCTTGACCTTTGGGGGCGACGTTAATGTCTTCCTTGCTAAAGTGTGAGAAAAGTAGTGTATCATATTCTTAGAGCTGCATGCTGTTTAATCACTGCTCGTTGGAAACAGACTTCTCCTCCCTCTTTCTCTCATCTTCTGCACAGGGTCGGAGTGGTCAGGTTGATGCAACATCTTATAGACAGATTGGGCACTAGGCTGGATAAAGTCAATGTTATGTGGGGCACCTGGAACACATATTTGCTCCAGTCCTTCTCTTAATTGTATTTTGTAGTAGTTTCATTACAATGCACTGCTTTTATGCACTCTCCTTTTTTCTTTTAACTTTGACTTATTTAGCTATCTGTTGACAACTCTGAGTGTGCTAGTGGCATATGTTATATAATTGGATTTCACAACAGATTTTGTATTTTTCTTTTATATTCATACTTTATTGTTGATATATGTAGTGCATGTGGACTATTTTCTATGTCTTTGTTTATATTTTGTTTTGTGAAAAAAACTTTAAAGAAACAACAGTACAGGTCCCGCTTCTGGAATACCTGGTTGAAATCATAATTGCTTCCATTTGTTTTATAGTTTTATAGAAAGGGTTAAAATAATCAAATAGTTGTGTTCTCCTACTTTTAAATCCCTAGATGGGGGTTCTCTTTCCTTTAAAACCAACCTGTTTGAAATCAGTAATGATTCAGTGTTTAAGAATGAGAACGACTTAGAAAAGCATGGTCGAGTTCTATGATGTTACTTGTAACTTAAACATTAATTAAGTGTGGTTGTATTGTATACAGTATAATGACAATGCTTCATTTAGGAAACTAGTAATTAAAGAATAAAAGTGGTATTCCCAAATTATTCTCTTTCTTAAATATTATGTAATTACTGGGTAAGTTATTGCAAAGACAAAAGACCACCATTTATTTATTTATATCACTTTTTATTAATAAATTGTATAAGGGGGGGGGTGTCAGGAGTTGTTTTTGACTTAACACATGTTTCAGGTCATTAGTGAAGTATCCAAAGAACCCATATACCAGATCACAGTGAAGGTTACAGCAATCCGTCTTCCCTCCATGAAGTGAGATACACATAACCCTAAAAGCATCTAAGCACCCCTTTCCCAAAGTTTTTATGCATCAGACACCATAACTTTGCAAGGAGTGCTGTTTCTTGAGGACCATTCTTAAAGAACCCCCAAACCCCACCCTGATGATGAAGGGTGTATAGATTGGTGTTATTGTGTTGGGGATGAAAGGCAATGTAGACAAAACCAAAATAAATATTACAGTGTTAATCATGTAACAACATAGAATTAGCACTGTGAACAGCAGATCAAATGGCCATTAATGTTAAATTAACCTTAAATGGATAAATTTGCATGAATTTTGCCTCCATTTAAATGGTTAAATTTGCATGAATTTTGCCTCCATTTAAAGATCAAAGATAAAAATAAAACAGATTAACTCATCAAAGATTAAAATTAAACAGGTTGGTTAAAATTAAACAGATCAAAGTAGAATTAGAAAAGATGTTGCATGACAACTAATTCTTTGGGTGTAGCCTAGATAAGGCCAAGACAGAAGTCCAATCCTGGATGGCAGATTATTTCTGAGTTCAAGTTTACTAATTTACCCAGCAATTGAAGCAGAAGAAGAACAAGAGACAGAAACAGAAGCCCTTTGGGGGCCTCTATTTCTAGTTGTGGGTTTGTGCAGATAGTGCTATGAACTTTCTATGAGCCAGTCTCACTAAAGACTTCTACAGATATTTCCCAACACTTTGATGTCTCAAAATAATGGAATATAACACCATTGGTTCACCAGTGTATCCATTTGTTTCCTACCAAAGATGCATTTTTAACCATGCCCGGGGAACTCTATTCTTTGAAGAAACTCCATGTCAGAGACTTTCTTGAAACTAACAGTGACAAAATAATGGTAAGAGGGATCTTCATCTTAATAATAGGACAACTATCAATTTAGGGTCCACTTGTAACCTAGATGACTATCTTTAGAAAGGCCACATGATGTTATCTTCTGTCTGCATCATTAACAGGCAAATGAGCTTTTAAAAGATGCATGGTGTCCTATAAAAAGACGTCTGGTTATGCTATTTTGCATATGGTAACAGATATGGCAAAAAAAAAAGCCTTTTATATTGATAAATGCTTTAAAGCCACTACTGTATGTGTTGAGCTCCTAAGGTACAGCATATTGATGGGGTTTCCCATGTACTGTTGTTCCAAAGAAATGGCAGTTTGGAAGTTGGGTCTGACTAGGCTAAGAAATGTTATAACTCCTAAGGCAGAAAACAAACATAAATATAAATTGAGTCAAAACTTAGTAAATGTAAAATCATTGTTGCTAATTATGATTCCCACCTCTTAGCCAATCACAGAAAAATCCATAGTGTATTTACCTGAAGAAGCCCAGTGGTGAGGAACTAATGAGGAAGTTCTTTTCCATGTTCTGAAGAATATCATTCAACATTCTCACTCTGGTTGGATCTCTCTCTTTTGGATCGTTAGCTGGACGCATCTCATTAGACTGGAATAGCTGTGTAGTTTCCCTTAAAAGTTTGGATATTTCCCTCAAACCAGTAGATACAATGTTACCTATTAGCAAGAAGTATAAAAAAATGTCAAAGTAAAACACAATCAAACTTTTGTAAGTTTAAACACAATCCGAGCTCCATCATATGATAGGCATTCAAAATAGGTTAAATTCGGTCCTCTTTTTTTGTGTATTTATACTTTTTACAAATAACATTTTTCTACCTAGTGAAGATTGATTTATTCATATTTTAAAAGAGAAATGAAGAGTTGTTGCTCAGAAATATGAGAAAGGGGCATTTTTATGAGTTTTGAATTACATGAAGCAGCACATGCAGTGATAAAATTGTTGAATTTTCAACAATAACAAAATGCTAACATTGTAAAAGGATAACACCTATAAATTATCTTAACATTCTGCTTCATATTAAACAGCTTTATTTATGAGAGTAAATGCCTTTAGTTAATAAGACAGGAAGTTGGATCTGCATAAAGGCAACAAATAAATATATTGTCTTCCCAAACAATGAAGTCAAGTTTAAAAAATAAAGTACAGTTAATAGCCAGCCTGACAGCTACTAAATATTTGCATAAGTATGTCTGACTATTCTGTTTAAAGGCAGTGACCTTGCAGCTTCAGCAATGGGATCAGCAGATACCTTAAAATTCCTGTACTAATCATACATTACTGGAAAGTAATGTTTACTTCTGACAGAGATATGAAATCTCAAACTGAACTTTAGTGGCAATTTTGCATTCTCACCTATTGCAACCAATTTATTTAACCACATCTGGCTGGAGCAATTTTTTTCATTATTCACACACACATGTTAAAATCTGAATTTTTGCCTAGAAATTCACTTGTAACCCTGGAACAATTTTATATTTTCTGAAATTAGAGGCTATGCAGAATAAAAAATAGCACATGCAATGTTTTATGTTGCACAATATTTGCAAAAATGCTTATCAAATTGAAAATTTCACGCAAGAATACACTTAAGTGAATTTTAGTACACACAAACACACTATAATACCCATTTTTTTGTAAAATATAAAAGATGAGCTTGCTTTGACTAAATAGATACCAAATATGTAAAGCCTTAAAATTGTGCACAGCTGTGAAATGGCAAAAACCTACAGTGCCCAATTGTTTATAGGCAACATTTTAAAAGTCTTTAACACTCATCAATTTAGAGTTAACAGCATATAATGATTAGGGTTGGGCTCGATGTTCGAGTGGAACGTGAGTTCGACTCGAACATCGGCAGTTTGTGTGTTCGGCAAACACACGAACTGTCAGGGTGTTCGGCAGGCTGTTCGCCCTCCGGTGACCCCGCACAAGGCACTGTGCCTTGTGAGCCCTGATTGGCTAAAGCCTTGCACCTGACCACAGGTGCAAGACTTTGCCCAATCAGGGCACAGAACAGTGAGATCCATGATTGGACAAAGTCATGATGACTCTGCCCAATCATGGCTCACCCTGTTTCAACTGTAAACAGTTGGGGGAGCCCAAATGTTTATATGTTACTGGCATCTGTCAAAATGCCATTCTGCGGTGGGTGTTCATCGCAGCGACAGGAAGGCGGTCGTCAGGTTTTTAAAAATTATTTTGATTTATTTTTTATTGTTTTATTTTTTATTTATTCAAGTCGTTGTTGTCGTGGACAATGCTGGATGTCATGATTGACCCTGGATTACATCGGTGGATCAATTTTTTTGTTTTTAAATAAAAAACATGTTTGTTTTATTTCCAAATAAAGGATTTTTCAAAAGTCTGGATTTTTTATTTACAATTTTATTTAACCCTTTAGTGAATGGGTAGGGGCACAAGTACCCCGTTACTCATTCACAAGGGGGAGGCAGCATCTGGGTGCCACTTTATTAAAGGAGTACCCTGATGTGAATAAGCACCCTGCCCACACCCCCACAACCAATGCCCCATGGCTTGTGGGGAAGAGACCATTGTCCCCATCAGCACGGGGAAAAGGTGCTTTTCCAGGGGTGACCCCCAGTGCTGAGGGCATGTGGCCTGGTATGGGAAGGAGGGGGGGTGCTCGCTCATCCCCCCCCTTTCCGGCCCTGCCAGGCCTATCCTCAGATCAAGGGCTTGGTATGACTTTAAGGGCGAACCCCAAACACTTGTTTTTTTACATGGGGTCCCTCCTAAATATTCCTACCAGACCTTAATGGTCTGGTATGACTTTTGGGGGGAACCCTGTGCTTTTTTAAAAAAATTTGGTCCCTCCTAACATTCCTACCAGACCTGAAGGGAAGCCCCACTGCAAGGGTTAATTATTGCACATCCTGGAGTTCTGCTTTAAGGGGTTCACTTATAAAATTTCTGCCCAGCACTAGCTCCCCTGGATGACGCTGACGAGTATAAACATTTTATGAATGAACCCCTATCTGTTGCTGAAATAAAAATAGAAATTAAATTAAAAAAGAAGACACTTTATGCTTACCCATCATATCAACCATATAATTTTTGTTCCATTGCTGAGCAAAACTGCCTAAAGTCTTCACTTCCAGCACACTTCTGAGTATTTGGATGCCTGTGACCCCCTGACACTCCTAGTAGTAGGCGGAAGGGGAACCACAGACAGCGGGGGGGTGGGGGGGGCACAAGCATCTGACCGAACTGAAAGTGTGTGAGATGTGAAGATTCTCCTGGTGGCTTTGCTTGGCAACAAAATGAAGATTCTATTAAAGGGCACATCTTCTTCTTTTACATTAGCTATTTGTTTTTATTTATTCTTTTAGTGATAGAGTCATTTAAGCCATTTGGGGTCTTTCATGTAAGATATGCAGAACACTTCTCTACTAACTTTAACATAATATTGCTTCTGTTTACAATGAAATCCAAATAAAAAACGTTACTCTTTCATAGACAATCCCAGGCAATCCTGCACAGAAACCTAATTATAATCTGCTTGCAACTTGTTGTTCATTTAAAAAATGTATATTTTATTTACAAATCATGGACAGCTCATAGCACTGGGCACCCGGGGCACACATCTCTTGCTAGTTGCCCCAAATCGCCACACTGGGACTATGGTGCTCTTAATAAAAAAACATACATAAAGCATCATCATGATGTGTGGGGTGTTTTTTTTTTGAAAAAAAAAAACAAAAACATACATAACGCATGCATATGTGCATTCTAAGCTCTGAAAAATAAATAGTAATTCAACATTTACTAAAGTATTTATCTAGAGGATTTTCCTATCCTATGAAGTTCCTATCTTCTAACATTCCCTGCAGCTGTCACAGCCCATGCTGACAGTGCCTAACCAACTTGCTAATAGTATGAATGAATAAAAGTGTTTAATCCTGCAGCACTGATTGCTCTGGTGAGTCTCTCATTCTTGCTATTGGAAAGTGGCACCTGATTTTAGCTTCTGCACTATCATTATCAGCATGCAGGGAGCTGCAGTCACTACTTAAGCTATGTTTTGGTTCCAGAGTCTCTCTCCCAGCATACAGCTGTGGAGAAACTCCTGGCAAAGCTGCACACTGATAATGATAGTAAAGAGGTTGAAAACAGGAGTTTCTTGCAGACAATATTATGAATTAATGAATGAAAAAAGTTTTTAACATTCTGTGACCCTGACAGCTCTTAAAAAATTCTGGAGCAGTTAGCAGTAGAGAAAAATGCTTTAATTGTTTAATTCTATCAGCAAGCAGCTCAAGTACCGTCAGCATGAGCCATGACAGCAGTGGGAGGAGCTGGAAGATAGTAGGATCTGACACTTCCAGAAGTGTCGGATTTCTATTCATTTTGCAGGGCTTAAAAATTAAGTAAACAGCAACTAATTAAGAACTATCACCCATGTATCTATTATGCTTCATGTTTTAATAAAAGAATTGAAATAAAAAGGCTTGAACTGACAAGGTCTCTATAAAACATATTTTGTGGGCACAAAGCCTGTGGCATATGTGTGTGCATGTACAGCGAGTAGGCTTTGGGTCCTATTTACCTATACCCATTTAAGCTCCTCCCACTGCCAACACAAATTAGCCATACCCATTGCTTTGATACGTGGTACCCAGGTCTTTCAGAATCCTAGAAATGCCCCTGTTACTAATATAACAACAACTAAAGTATTGACATAATCTTGCTAGCACTTAAATCAATTTAGGGACAGTTTTCACTTGTGTTAAGTGTTAACTAGATTTTGATATCACCCTCAGTTATAGTTGACCTATTTACCTGCAGCACAATTACATAACTTGTGTAAACGTAGAAATAAGTATATTAATATTAATGAGCATGGCCACAAGCAACTTACTTGTGTGATCTTCATTAAGGGATGCATTAAATACCTACTGCAGCATTTTGTTTTACACTTTTACAGTTTATCACTGTTGGATGAAGAGTTGCTATTATAGACATTAGACAGAAATACTGGGAGATTACAATTCTATAATTGTTTCTTAGGGCAATATTGTTGTAAGCTTAAAACCTAGTTAAGCCTAATAATTCATTTGTAAGCTTTTTAAAAAGAGATGATTGAAGGAAAATTTAGCACACCCAAATACTTGCTATACCAAATTTTAAAGCTGAACTACACGCAGATATAAAAGGAACACATTACAGCAGATATGTAATTATGAACACATTTTTAAAGACATTTTTAAATTTTTAATGCAAGCAGAAGATGTGCCTTATTTTGACCTAGTACCAGCCTCTTGCAACCACTGCACAGCAAAACTCAGAAATCAGGAGTGAGAAGCAGCACAGTGGTCCAAATATGTGTGTTGCAGTTCAAAAAGCCAGGCTGATAGGAAGAGGGAACAGAGATGAATGTCAGCCTGCTGCTCCTTCTTTCAATATTCAGTCACAGGGAGGGGAGGAGACCTGTTGTGAAAGTGAAACTGCAGCAGCGGAAGATCATGACCCATCCCTTCTAAACCTGCTGTGTGGCTGAGCTTTGTAATTCTTAGCATTGGGTGGGCAAACGTCCATTATAGGTGTTTCATCTGTGTATTATCTGTTTGCCTGGAGTTCAGTTTTAATTCAGACTTTAAGATTTCACACATATGAAAACTGTATATGGAGACAT